TTCGATAATACATGCATTATTATAATACATAATAATACATGCATACGATAGGTTTGGAACCCAAAGGACAATACTTTATTCCTAGTTCTTCATTGATATCGAAGGAACCTATTGGCGAGTGATGATTCTAACTCTGATCCCATTGCCGCTCTATCAATTGGATCAGATACATTGTTGTTAAATAAAAAATGACATTCATTGATGGTAAATTTCAGCAACTTCTGAAAACCATACTTAAAAATATCTTTTTTTATATTATCATAATTCTGATATACAAGATTCAATGTCAGTTGTAATGTCTCTTCCAAAGGATTTCTGTAATAGTTCAAATATAATTTTTCAGTTTTACTCAATTTTAGAAAACTAATGTTACATAATGATTATTAATAACAGTAGCAATAGATTTGTGTGATATGTCTAAGCACAATAATAATAAAGCTTATAATAAGACGAATGATACAACATAATATGTATTTTTAATAAGTTCAGCAATGAACTACTTTAAATCTTAATACAAGTTCATTATAATTCCGAACTTTTTTGGTGAATTATAATTTTGGCATATAAGTTTAGTGCAGGAGTTAGGGTGGTAAAGTTATTCGTTTCTGTTGAACAATCAACTGAAGCTATCGACCATAATTTAAAGAAAAGTCCATCTTTCGAAAGCTCTCGGGTTACAGGGTTTCGTATTTTTTGTCTTCAGTTGATTTTTTAACCCTACCTGTTTTCCTAACATCATGAGCATACAACTTATATATTAATTCATGAAGAAGAATTATACGAAATGATTATATAAAAAAATATTACACCTCCATACATTAATATATATATATAAATATAATTATTAATCCCCCTATCCAATTCCTTAAGACAGATCATACAATAAAACCTCCACCTCCCACATGTAGCTACGCTTATATTATTATTTGAAATTTTCGGACTTCAAACAAATCCATCCTCAGATATTAAAACTGAGCGTCCTAAAAGTCCAATAATAAATACGAATTACCCTTCTTCGGTGAGATGGGTTCAGCAGTCAAGCCCCATTACTAACACAAGCAAACCAATTATAACACCTCCATCTCCAAACCTATTAAAATGACACAAGCTCATTAATACTAATTCGATGACGAGGAACCCACTTTGAGACTAATAATGGCTGGAGACGGCTTGAATGGGTAATGAAGAAAAACTTTAATATAATAATGGCTGGAGACGGCTTGAATGGATAATGAAGAAAAACT